TTTTGGGGGGGGGGGGGGGGGGGGGGGACAAGATCACATAAACCCCCCCAAAACGCAAAACAAAATGGGAGAGTACTACCATGGCTGAAAATTAGAACAAAGTATTCATTTGCAAAATTAGCAAGCTTGATGTTGCAAATCTAAACAAAGCTGTTATAATGCCAATTTATACAAAGCCACTTTTCATAAGCTCTCTAAATTCAAAAAGTTAGCTTATATTTTTGTAGAAAAAGTGTATAGTTACATTAGGTCATACTTGGCATGCCTCGTTACATACTACATACAGAAGCACAAGTAACAGGAGATCAAATTGGTATTCTGTTAACCTAGGAAATTTTATGGACAAGACAACCACCACTTTTCATGTTTCACAACTTTAATAGAATATTCTAACTATTCTGTACAAATTGAAAACACCGTATTAAGTTACAAATGTGTAAGGTAAGGCTGGAGCACTCTACATGCCTGGTCACAGTGTTGATACAGTTGCTATTCAACTGATGCCAGAGATTGGCATTTGGATGCTTAAACTAGAAGTGTGCAACTGAAGTACTGCGCAACAACAACAGGTAGTTTTGAAGACTTCAGAGCTTTTAAACAAATTGTGGAACGGAGTAATTTGAGCTACGAATAAGACACCAAAACTTCAGATTTACCAAGTTAAATTTTGTTAATCTATATGCTCAGAGTGAAAGTCCCTGCCATGCTGGATACTAAGCAATAAGACTATTGGAAATGTTCTGGTTCTTTGGCTGCAACCCACTTCTATTGACAGCAACAATTTGGCTGTAGATAGTTTGGATTTTCCCCTAAAGAATTGTCACTTTGAAGCACGTTCATTTTTGTCTAAGCTACCACCTTGAGAAAGACTAGTCAAATTTTCCTTGTACAAGTACCCATACTTTATGCAAAACAGGAAGAAAATATTTTCAAGTATCTTAAAAACTATTAAAAAGCACTAATTCTTTCAAAGTACTTACAAACATGAATGAATAAATAAATACAAAGATGAACAACTAAGTAAATCTCAAATATGACACCCTTTCAATAATGATAAAAGTAAAATTTACTTCAATTTAATTGGCTTTACTCAGATAATAAATATGACATTTAAAAAAGCGCAAGCACTAATTTGATTTGTAGGTTGCAGGAAATGTTTTTTAAAAAGGGTGGGAGGTGGGAACTAGCAAAAAAGAGTCAAGTCCTATTGCTGCATTTCCTTTAACTACCACTCATGTAATCCATTTATAGTTTAGCTTCTCGGCACATGGGCTATTCCACAATTTTCAAAGTTCAACAAGAAAATGGATAGTCTTTACTTTGTCATTTGGATTATGTCCCTATGAAGAGGCAAGAGGCTCATCAGAAAGCCTACTGACAATTATTTAGCTACAGTGTACCAAAGGCTGTAGAGTGTGCTTTATTTAAACCTCATATTTCCCAAATGCATTGAAGTTGCCACTGTACAAGTTAAGCAAAAAAAGAAGAGTTAGTGAAAAATCATGCATTTTAAAACAAATTAAGTTTAAGCATTGTTAATAAGATTGTGCTGCAGCAATGGAATATCCTGAACTGCAGGCCAGGTATCCAAATATTTGTTACAAGTTGTTCAAATATCACTCTGAAGTGGTATTTCCTTATTACTGTTGTTTGCATTCAGCAGGCTGGCTGGCATCTTTCTGTTTAAAGGAGAAAAAGAAAAAGAAATAGTCACAAAAGGATAAAGCTTACAATAAGCGTTCAGCTGAAAATTGAAATTTGGTCATATGGCTTTTAGTTAAATGTAATACCAGATTAACCCTAAGTGGAGATATCTCCATGTAAATCATGATCCAAAGTTCTTAACTGCAACTCATGAACTTGGTATTGCTCAGCCCTTCAGAAGTTTGAGACTTATGCTTGGCTTCTCTATAAGTCTCCATCAAAACAGCCCAGACTTTCTAATTCAGTCTCCTAAATAAATGGCCTAATTTTCAAAAGGGCTCAAGCCAAATGGAGCTGCAGTAGCCATAGAAATTTGAAAGCAAGAGTATCAATCCACTTGGTTAGGAGTCAAATTTAGAAAGTCTTGGCCTCTGTATTGAAGATCAGGAATGCTGGTTACCCTAACAGGTTGTGCTCCCCTCCAGGCTACAGAGAGCTGCATTTGTGTCAGCTTATACATATTGCTGTATTTTAGACCGGGTGCTCCATCTGCTTAGATCTTTGCAATTTACACACTACCACTTATACAATTTTTTTAAAATACTGAATTAACATTCCTCTTTTGTTTGTTTCACCTTTCAGCCCTGCTTACTGTAAGACAAATACTAAGTTTCCTGAATAGTACAGTAAAAAGGAAAGTGAGGTACAGAAGAGACAAGAAAGACAATGCCCAACTTTGTGGAATAATGTATACCTTTGATAAATTAATCTAAAAACAACAGAAATATTTAATATTGTACTAAAGCAAGAATGAAAGCACTACATTTGTTTGTCAACATAACTGTGTACATGCCTATTTTCCCCAACTGCTTTTCACATAACACTGAAATGAATAAATTTGCACTGACCTATCCCTGAACAAGAGAATTCCTTTGTGAAAGGACAAGTAGACAGCAACAGCAGAGAAATTATTTCTTAGAAAGAAAAAAAAAATACTGGATATAGTTAAACTTCAAAGTCTACATTACACTTCGGGTAACATTTTCTAAAATCTAAGTGCTTATGCGCCTAGAGCCTTACTGACAGATTGTGTGTAACTTATGTTCCTACATATCCAAATTCCACTTTAAAAGGTAGCTTTGTGCTTTAGAAAAATGCTATCCTTTAGTTACAATTAAAATGCAAGCTGCAAAAAACTACCAGTGAACTACTGCCGCACTGCCAAACCATATCCCACTCAAGCATGGCTGGACCTCCAGCATGGCAGAGAAGGGAAGTGAAACAAAAAACAGAAAATAGCCTACGCAAATCATTGCACAGACTATTCATAAATGTAACAACTGATCTGGTTCTGTGAAACTTCAGGAAGTTTCAAGACACATGAGTGTGCCTAGAGAACACACTGCCAGCAGGTCTCTGCCAGTTCTAATTTTGTAGTAGAGGGCTGACTTAAGGACATCCACTATCTTCCATCTTGAGGACGTCAAACTGGTCAAGAATCACTAAGCATAAGTCAATTTCTCAGAGATCCAGGCCCTGAAGTATCTTAATATCTACCCATGCTTTAATATATACCCTTTGCACATCATATGGAGCAGCAAAACTAGTGCTGAGACAAAAATACTATTTATAATGCTGACAGCTGCATTCCGTATTAGCTTCAATCTCCAAATGATCTGTGTGCAGCCCCACACAGAGGCAGAGACACACAGATAACTGTTAGAGGTATGCAAAACAGGCTGTAATCAATTTGGATTCCAGCTGAATCAGGGACAGTGATTCAATTTGCTGATTTGGATCACTGCCCCCGATTTGATTCGGCTGAATCTGAAGGTTCAACGCTGATTCGGAGAATCAGCGATTCGGCCATAGAAACAGCTTTAAACATTCTTTCTACATACCTCAAGGTACCAAAAACACTGCAATGGTGGGACGAATTGAGCATCCCACAGAAACGCAGGGTGGCCCCCGTGTGCTAGGCAGCAAAGCCAGAAGTGGATCGGAAGTACTTCCGTTCCACTTCTGGGTCCTCTGCCAAGCATGCTGGGGACCCCACTCCCCCCGCCCCCAGCTCAGCGATCAGCTGTGGGGGGACCCCAGGTGCTTCCCCCAGACCCAGGCGGCACCAGTCGCCAAGCTGGAGGAGCACAGGAGGGGACTCCTGCAGACCCGGAAGTGCTTCTGGTGCACTTCCAGGTCTGCTGCCGAGTGCGCTGGGGAGTCCCCCATGCTCCTGTGAGATGCTCCATCTGCCCCAGCATCACAGCATTCACAAGCCACCTGGTACCTTGAGGTACGTAGAAAAAAAACAACATTTAAAAAGCTGTGTTTATGTCCAAATCGCCAAATCAATTCGCAGGGTTCCGATTAGATTCAGAGAGATTAAAGGGTCTCCCAATTCAGTTTGGATTCGGAGAGTCAGCCACCAAATCGAATCAGGGATGAAAGCTTTATACAGCTCTAATAGTTGTACTATTTCACATAACCCCCCTCAAAGTTGCACTTGGTTTATGTACACTTGAAAAGCAATCTTTGACAGAGCTGCTTCGCTAATAATCCAGTGACAGCCTAGAATCTAACACCACCCACAAAGTGTTGGCTTGTGGTAGAGATTGCAAGCTGCACTTCAGCATTCAAAGTGGTCAATGAGCTGGTTCCTTCCCAACTGCCAACATTCTCACCTAGACAGTTGTTCAGTGGGTCAGTTCCATCTCACTTAGACACCAGCATGATGGATCAAATTACCCTATGTCAAACATGATGAGAACTGGCCACATGATACCATGCGCATTTCAACCCAAGTCACCCATTTCAACCGACATTTGTAAAAAATGCTAAGCAGTTTATCTTCAGCGGGCAGCTTCCAAGGCAAACCAACCACTGCACAAAACTACAACTCTGTTCTTCAAGGAGCAAAACAGGGCAGGGCAGACAGAACATATTCTATGAGTGTATTCTACCTATAACTACTCATAGTTTCAGATTTTCAGCATTGAGGGGAAAGTAGCCAAACAGATCCAAGACAATGCAGTTTCCCAAGTACCAACTGACCTCTGGCTCCTCAGACACACAACCCCATCCCACCTGTTAGACAGTCTGATGTCCTCCAGACTGGGGGCATAATTCCACAATACATGAATCACAGCATCATAGCAAAACGGGTCTGGAAGGGACCTCACAATGTCATCTATTCCAATCCCCTTGCTCAGGGCAGGATCACTCTCACTTAACCACCTCAACAGTGTGGTCGCATCCAGACTAGCGCAGCTGTTTGGTTCTCTGAGGACAAGTAGCAGTGGCACACCTTGTGCTGCAGCTACTTGTTCCTGGGGAATGCCTGTGCCACAAGCATTTTGGCATGCAACAGGATACCCTGGGGGCAGCAGGGGAGGCTGGGGCCAGCACTGGGCTGGCCCCAGCAACCTTACCTGGGGTCCTCCCAGGGCTGCAGCCACAGTGCTCCAGCCCAGCAGAGCCTGGCTGGCAGCCATAGTGCAGTTCTGGGCGGCCTGGCTCAGCTTTTCAGCAGCACCCACTCCCCATGCTTGCACTGCTCTGTTTTTTTCTGTGAGTTTTATTTGGCCCCTGGATACAGAAAAAAACCCACGGCAGCACACACCCAGGCAGTGTGCCCTCACAGCATGGAGAACACCTCAGTGTGTGGTATGTGGTGTTGCAGATGTGTTTGCAGCGCCACATGCCACACAGCCACGCTCATTTGGACACACCCTGTGCGTCCAACCTGTTCTCAGGCAGACAAGGTTCTTTGGGTAAATGTGATATCTTTTATTAGACCAACTAAATAGTTGAAAAAAAATTTGTTCTTTGCAAGCTTGCAGGTATAAATGCTATTCCTGCTCTCAAAAATTCCAGAAGTGGAGATTCCACAACGTCCGCTGCCTCCTAATCTCCAACCTAGATTTCTTCTGTTGCAGCTTGAGGCAATTGCTCCTAGTCCTGTCCTCTACAGTCACAGCAAAAATCCCACCTCCATCCTCTCTACAGGCACCCTTCAGGTATCTAAAAACTATCAAATCCCTCCCTTAAGTCTTCTCTTCTCCAGACTTAAATAACCCTAGTTCTGTCAGCTTTCCCTCAAGTCATGTTTCCTAGGCCCCTAATCATTTTTGTCACTCTCCACTGAACTCGTTCCAATTTGTCCATGTCCTTCTTAAAGTGAGAGACCAAAAACACAGTACTCCAAGCGAGGCCTCACCAGTGCTGAATAGAGCAGAGGAACCATCTCCCTTGATTTGCAGGTGACACTTAATACAACCCAGTATGCTATTGGAGGGGGTGGGGTTTTTTTTGTTTTGTTTCACAACAAGCACACTGTTGGCTCGCATTCAGTTTACAGTCCTTCTCTGCAGTACTAGCCAGTCATTCCCCAATCTGCACTTAAGATGGAATAATTACATGCACAAGTGCAGGACTTTGCACTTGTCCTTCTTCAATTTCACAAGTGACTGCAGACCATTTTTAAAGTCTGTCCAGCTCGTTCTGGATCCTAACCCTACACTCCAGAGTGTCTGCTACTCCATCCAACATAGCATCATCCACAAATTTGTTAACTGTGCACTCAATCCCATTATCCAAGTCATACAATATTAACAATGCTAGACCTAGGGCAGACCCCTGATGAACCATATCTGATACCTTCTCCCAATCTACTAATGACTAATTGGGCATAATGATCTAACCAGTTATATATCTATTGTACTTTCATCTAGTCTGTATTTCCTTAGCTTGTTCATGAGAATGTCATACAAAACCATGTCAAAAGCTTTGATCAAGTCAAGGTATATCATATCCACTGCTCTCTCATATCCACGGAGCCCATCACTTTATTACAAATAAAATCAGGCTGGTTAAAAATGACTTGCTCTTGGTGAATCCACACTGCCTGCTCCTGATCACCTTGTGCTCCTGTAGGTGCTTCATAACAGATTCCTTGAGGACCTGCTCTATGATCTTTCCCAGTATTAACATCGCACTACTGGTCTGTATTTCCCCAGGTCCTCCTTCTTCCCTTTCTTAAAGATGGGCACTATTTTTGCACTTTTCCAATCATCTGGGACCCTGCCTGACCTCCACAAATTCTCTGAGAGGAGAATCAATTCCTTCATTACCTTAGCGTACAACTCATTGGGCCCTGTCAACGTGAAAGCATCTAGCTCTTCTAAGTAATCCCTAACCTGTTCTGCCATTACCTTAGACCAGTGACCCAACCTTTTGGAGGCACACCTGCCAAAATTAGCCACACATGCTCCCCATTCTCCTTCCCTGCCTAATCTACTGCTCTCCTTTCTGCTTCTTCCCCTGTGCTCCCTGACTAGATCTGCTACACTGCTTTCTGCCCTGCTTACTCTTGTACTGCCTACCCCCTCACTGGTTTACCATGTGCCACGTGTGCCACAGGGGTGGCTACCCTTGACCCAAGCCATTTAAACTCCTTGCCCATTTTTGCTGCCAACCGCACTTGTCATCTGGCAGCTGCCCCATTTATGAAGTTCTTATTTTGGCCTAAAGTACTTCATACTTCTCTGCCTCATGCATAAACTAAACTCCCCTCTGCACTCTTGTATGGGACCTATTATTTCTTTAGTATTCTTCTCACTCCTGACATACTTGTAGTCTCTTCTTGTCTCCTTGTATCCCTGCCAGCTGCATCTCAAATCATGCCTTGGCCTTATTCATTTTCTCCTTGCATGCCTTTGCAATACTTATACCCTTCCCTAGTAATATGACCAAGTTTCCACTTTTCTAGGATTGCTTTGAGTTTCAGCTCACTGAGGAGACTGCTAGGCTGGTCTCCTGTTGCAACAGAAGAATGGGAAGTGCCTACTCCTGCACCCTGAGAAGGATCTCCTTAACATGCAGACTGCTTCCCCGCCCCCCGCCACCTCAGACTTCCCTCTCCAGGGATCCTGCCCACCAGTTCCCAAAGTGTGCCAAGTCTGTTTTTCTGGACTCGAGTGTCTTTATTCTAATGCATTCCTTCCTTCCTCCCCTTAGCATCTTGAACTCTATCATTTTGTGGTCACCATCACCTAAATTACCTTGAGTGACGGCTACTCTGGAGAAGCTATATTGCATATTGTACAACTACTACTTTCAAATGTTGTATGTCATTTTAGTGATGGAAGTCCAGAAAAAAAATACCTCAAAAGTCGGGCTTCTGCTCTTCCTTAATGGTAATGTAGAATTTTTACTACAGCTCATCATTTATGTCAAGGCATCTGTTCCAAAGCCTTCAATTCTTATTTTACAGAACTCCACAAGTCAAAAGGCACTAATTTTAGAAACCCACCATTCACCTTTCTAGCACTGCTCAATGCCCATACTAGTTGACATAGGACATACTACTGGATGATTCAAAGAAGAGTTATCTCCTTCCTTTCTACACTTCTACAAGTCAGTCTCTTGAAATCTTCCAAATCTGTCACAAACGAAATATTCCATTTTGTTCTATGTGCTGACTGATATGGACATATGGAAGTTGATAACTGTTCTTCTTTTCTAGGTTCTATATTTTGTTTCTCAAATGCAGCTCAATTACCAGGTATTTTATGATCAACAGAAACAAACACTAGCTTCGCTGGGGAGAGAACCAGCCATCTGACGCTACGACTATCCATAAGAAAAGATTAACAAACTTTCTGAGGTCCAGAAATGCCAAGATGTCACATCTTAATGATTCTGGTAACCCTCAGTAAGTTGCCCAAGATTCAATCCTAAATGGCAAGAGTACACAAATTTCAAATGCAGATGTTGGAAATGACTTCTGAGTGAAACAAATGTAAAGCATTGTGCTCCAGAATAGGAGTTCCTGAAAGGCTCTCCATCTATTCACGAAAGAAATATTGTCTAACTCCTTAAAATAGATTTGCTGGCTAGTGGTGGAAGCTTCAATTGTGGTTGCTTTGAAGATGGAACAAGTACTTGGAAGCAGTAGTTACTGTCCTCTTAGGAGGGAATGTTTTTAATTTAACTTGAAACTATGGTAGTGAACTGAGCCAGTTAACTTCTTTTTCCTCTTCAGGTAATAGCATACTTGCTCAAACTGGTTAGCCAGCTAGAGCAGCATTTCTCAACCCATGGGTCTCACAACCAAACAAGAATATAGGAAAGGGTTGTGAACAACCTTTAAAAATCGATTCCCCTTTAAAGGATAAAAAGATGGGAAACTGGCTTTTTCCTTGCAGACTGGCAGAGTTCCAGACTGTGAGGATTGCTTGTGGCCCCCCTGCCCCACACAGTGGGGCCTGGGGGCAGATCGGGAGTGAGGGGCACTGGGTCAGGACTGGCCATTGATGTTTATAAGTAGGTCCTGGTACAAAAAAGGTTGAGGACCACCGAGCTAGAGGACACAGCCCTTAAAATGTTTTATTTTTTTTATTTTTTTTGAAGGCACAAAACGTGCCAGTCAAAAAGAAACAGAATACTGGAAAATACTGAAGTTTTTCTAGAGGCTCAACTACATAAAACAGCCTTCTTCACCTAGACTCCAGAGCTTAACCCTTTGCACAGGTTAAGTGACATAGTTCTTCCTGGACATTTTACCATCAAAATAAGATGCAATTAAAAAGAGAGAAAATGGAAAAAAATGAAAATAAAGTCAGAGCAAGAAAATAAGATTTAAATATGAGCACTGTTGAATACAATTAGCTAGAAGGGAGGAACAAAGTAGGAATGGGAAAACAAAGTCTAGGAGGAGGTTTGATATGTAGCAAAGATTGTTAGTACACAGAAAGGTGAAAACTTTTCCAGACGTAGTGAAAAAACAGAATTTAAAGAAAAGAAAGAGACAAGAACAGTACAGTAAAATCTCTATTATCCAGTACTTCACCAACCGAATATTTTATTAACCGGAGTTTCCGGCCAGCCAGATGCAAGGGGGGGCAGCGGAAGCTCACATGCAGAGGCCACCACCACCCAGTGCTGCCGCTGCTCCATATACAGCTGCCACCCCCCCACCAGCCAGACATTTGTGGGGGGGAGGGAGGGGGAGCTTGCATGCAGCAGCTGCTGCCACACACCCCCTTCCCACCTCTGCTCCATGTTATTTCAGATAACCGAAGTTTTTACATAACTGGCAAACCCCCCACCTTGGGGATACTGGATAACAGGTTTTACTGTACAAAGAATGGGTGGTTTGGGAAGGGAGCAATGAAAAAGAAATTAAGAGCATATTATTACGCATCTATTCATAGCATTACTTATCATCAAGAGTACTATTATTTTGTTTGGAGAGGAGCAAAAACAGTACCTTATAAAGGCAGGACAAGAAATCTGAGATTTATTCTAAAAGACAGGGAATCACTGAATTCACAAAATAGAGACAGAAGTCACACTGGTGAGAAGATCATTTTAGCTGCTGAATGTCTGAAAAGCTAATTCTCATCTTTTGCAAGCTGATAGAAGGATGTTACACTAGTCCAGGCATGATAGTGGCATGAATGTATTCTGGTAGACAAGAGGTGGGGGGAAATAGATGTTTTCAAAGCAATAAGATTTATAAGTCAGAAGATAAGCTCAGCCTTAGGGCTGAATGATGGGAAGGATACTGAATATAAAAATCAAGAGGGAGGAACAGAACTGGGAAGAGTCGCATTTGTCATGAGGTTTGGGAAACACCAAGAAGAAACACAAATACAAAGATGCAACCCTGGAGTAGAATAAATTTCTAGGTCTGGGGTACAGACAGAGAACAACTGTAACGCTACTGAGCGATACCCGTTATAAGCTGTTATTATACATTTGCATGATTCTGTAGCAACCAACCCGGCTCCAATTTCCACCCCACTTCGTCCAGGGTCAAAGTTGGGAGGAATTCACTAACTTGGTTAGATGAACACCTTGCTGGGGTCGTTTGACCGCAGTACTCTTTCCTGCCATGGCAGGGGGTCAGACTAGATGATCTTCTTGGGTCCCTTCCGACCCTAGAAACTATGAAACTACATACTGTTGCAGGATCATGCAGATTCAGTTCCAGGCTAGCATTTGCTATATGCTTCCATGTATCAGCCTCCTCTCCCCTCCCCACATGAAATGGTTACAAATGTACATTTGTTCATGCTCTTTGTGAAATTCTGTGTGAACAGGCACCTCAGGGGAAAGGGAAGAAAGGAAGTATGACCATGAAACATCAGAAAACAGAAGGCAAGAGAAAGAGGATTCACTAAAAGCATAACTATGTAGAAGAGGCAAACAAGGGAAGAGAACAAGGAGAGAGAGAGAGAGTTGTGACAGTCAAACAAGAACTTCCCCTGGCATAAGTATGACAGCCTATGTCAGAAAGAAAGGAACAAAGACACAGATTTAGAACAAGTCAGCGGAGCAGAATGGAAAAGGAAACTAGAGGTAACTTGCAAATACACAGTAAAAAAGAACTCAATGCAGGCCAGTTAAGAGATGCAAGGGATATGGTACCAACTGAAATACAAGAAAATAATCTCAGTTATGTACATACATTCTATAACCCTGAAGTGCTACAAGGCAAGTCATGACTTCTGTCAGGGAGGCAAAGAGGTATTCTAGCTTTAAAAAAGACACACGACACTACTCAGGAGTGTCTATCCACAGAAATTTTCTTTTTTTCTCTAAACTGCTAGTGAGACCTATACCCAAAATTTCCCAAAATTTTTTATGCCAAGAAGTAACTGTAAACAAACCACATGTCATGGGCTACAAATCGGAAGCTTGCAAGTTAGGTACGAATGGAATTCCACCTTACCTAGAAATGTATGAATGATAAACAGACTTAAATTACACCTAAACAGGGAAAAAAATTAAAAGGAACTGTCAGCATGAAAGAAAAGTGAAATTACAAAATCATACAGGAGGCAACAACCAAAACCTTCTAAAGATACTGTAATAAATGCTTCTACAAAATACAATACATCACAGGGCATGCTACACGATATGTAGCTATGTCCGAGGGATCATAGCCATTGTAGCTGGTATAGACTGCTAGGTTCCTTCCTTTTAAAGCATCTTTGATACCATTATACCAATACTAATGTGTTTTGCTCTTCAGTTCTCCCACCACTGCTTTTCTATTCCTTTCTGAAAAGTCAAGAAAACAGTGAATTAAAAAAGTGTCAGTGCCACTCTTTCTTCATTTGGGAAGGATTTCAACAAGGATATAAGTTTCTACCAACATGTAACGTTTCCCTTTAAGAGACAAGAATGATTATGGAAAATGGCACTCGAAAGGATTTACAGTGGTCAATTGCAAAAGACAGTGCATCAGTAACATAATCTAACTGCAATTTTCTTCAGTTTTGTGCGCTAGTTATTTCCTTTTATTTGTGCTAGTGAAAAAAAATGAAAAAGGTGCTGTGTGAACAGCAGAGTGAATAAAACATTGTCTGTACTTTCCCTCTCTATATCTAACTATAGTTTAGATATTGTTTAGGTGTCTGAATCATGGCTGAAAAGAGACTGGAAGAGAGTAGTGCCCATAATCAACTGAGTTTTAAGCTAAATTATACTTGGCACATGTCTGTTTGAACAGAGACACGACAGGATGGCAGAGGGCTGGATTTTGCAACACAACCAGAAAAGAAAGCAGCTAAGTTATTAGTTGAGGGGAGAGGTGGGGGAGAGGGAGTAGATGAGCTAACAAGCAACTGTAAAAATGAATTGGTGTCTAACATTTAGACTTCAAACCGATAGGATTCCGATATGTACAACCCTGTAAAATAGTTTTTTGGAAAATTTTCTATATCATTTCCCTTTACTTTATATAGGCAGATGAGGAACAATGTTTCTGTTCCAGTGCAAGTAAAACAAGGGATGGGAGGCAGGGGTGGAAAGCAGGGGGTGAAAGGACCCCCCTTACCCCCAACTATTCAAAATACATTGTTCTAAGAACTTATAAAAAAGCCTTTGGCAATAACAAGTATAAGGAAAATAAATGTAAAGAAAAATCTGCAATTAGAATTGGTTCTCTTCAAAACAGCAGAGAACAGTGGTGCTCAACCTTCTGGCCGTCTGCACCAGATGGAATGGCACAGGGCCAGCCCTAACCCCCAAACCTACCCTCCCAATCCAGCCCCATGTACTTCATGTAGCATGCAGGTCCATGTAATCCAACCCACAGGGTTTCCAACAGGTCTGGAAATTTGGCAGCATAGAAGCAGCAATTATTACCACCACCACTCCCCACTGCCAAATTTTCAGGCCCATGGGGAGCATAGCATAGAATCCCAATGTACTTTGTGGTTACTGTCCGAATACTTATAAACTACTGTAATAAATGAGGATCTCACCCATATACCTATAAAAACAAAACAAAAAAGTACCTTAGGCTCACTTTCTGTATCCTCCTCTTCCTCTCCCTCCTCTTCACCTTCCAATTCCTATGACAGGAAGAAAAGAGACTAAAAGAAATTAAAATTAGTTTAAAAAGCAGCTGCTTATGGTGAGGAAAGCCATCTAGTAGAACTAGTGCAAATATTACATTCCTGTGTCTTTCATCTATTAAAAATCACTTGGGCTGGGGATAAGGCCTGACAAATCATCTGGCCTGGAGTGCTGGCTTACACATTCATACGGAAGCTACTGCAAATTTCCAAAAGGTCATGTTTTACTTGTTATGTCATTATGAGTTTCATACTTTTTGTCCTCCACCTGCCCACCCCACCCCCAGCTTTTTCTTGCTGGGCTCATGTATTCCTGTACATGGTGCTATACCACTAGTGTCCTTTCAGCTCCTCTCCTTGCATGTGCCTAAAAGCAAGTGCTAGCATTTCTGAATGGAGGCAAATAAGCAACTGATCAAGAGCTGGTTTTACAAAAAGCTCAGATTCTTCACTGCCAAAAGGCTGAACTCCTCAAAAAATAGCCAGATACAGTCCAGACCCAAAGTTAGGCCATTTTACCATAACATTGTTATGAAAAGTTTTGAACATACCATGACGACGAGTGGGGCAGGGGGAAGGAAATCACATATTGAGTTATTTGCCAAAGCACAGTGTCCAAATTTAACACTTTATTTTAGTGAAAAAATTGTATAGTGACTATCACTGTTGTGCTTGTGCTCTAACAACACCGAAACAAATGAACTTCAGTTTTAAATATTAACCAGCTCGGAAGTAGTTCTTGTAAGTCCTTCATTTAAAAATTATTTTGAAAGGACCACATACATTTTAAAAAGAAAGGCTGAACCCTAGGACACAAGACTGCCAGTTAGCGGGATACATAGCCTGTACTTTTTTTTTTTTTTTTAAGTCATCTTCCATTGCAGCCCAAGACTTTACCTTTATAAACAGCTATATCAAGATCCATCATTGCAACCCTTACAACTACCCACAACAGTTTTCTTTGGTTTCTTCATTTTAAAATGACTCCACTAGTATCGAAAGTGCCAATCCTCAACTCCTCTCAGGTGCAAAAACTAACTGCCATAGATTGTAGCACAAAAATACTGGACAGAACTACGATGAGTGCTCATGTTGCTTGTAGACATTAAACACACACCAAAACATGCTTTACCAGAAGCAGCAGCAGCATGTTACTTCAACCAGGCTCTGCTGTGTCTGCAAATACTGGGTGCTTCAGAGGGGCTTTTTTGAATTGGCTTTAGCTAAGTGCCATCTCCTATTAGATAGGAAGTGCCTGATTTTTACAGACATTGGGCAAGCCGAGTTGAAATAACACACTGCCTCTTCTAGGCATGTGTGGGTCTTGGCACAGGAATGTGCCAAGTTTCAAGTCAAGTGCCTTTTTTTTTTTTTTTTTTTAAACATCTGCAAGCACCCCTCAGGTACAGCTGTAGCAAGAGACAGAATAAATATACATTTCATATCTTACTATTAAACTATGAGAACAAATTTTGGAGAGAACTATGAACATAACAGCTCCATTTTTGCCCAACAATTGATAACTTCAGAAAAAGAAATATGGTTAGTGATATGCATCTTACCTCCTCTTCTCCTTCTTCTCCCTCTTCAAACTAAAAACAAAAGAAAAACCAGAAAAAAAAACCAAACACACACTTTTAGTTCTGCAGAATATTTTATGTACATATTAGCTATAGTAGGCATACCTCATGAAACCTACAGCACATTTTATTTAAAAACATTAGTACTTACACCATTGCAAAGTGGCTATACAGTACTAGCTGTATTTTTTGGCTGTGGATGCCATTATACAAAATTAAAGAATTTGCCTTCTGTCCTATGCCAAACTGGGAAAAGAATTAGGATTCTAGAACTCATCTCCCAAGTCTAATTTGTTTCCCATTAAACTACCCACTGTCGCCTCTAGATGATGACAATGATTCCTGCATGAGAGAGGTCATTTAATCTGATCAAACAAAAGGAAATCTCAACCCGGAAACATGACTGCAAAACACATGTCCCTAGTAAGAAGCACCTTTTTCTTGAGCTGTCTCAGTTCTGCAAGAGACACAAAGATACAAGCCATTACATACATGCACAAATGCCTACAGGATTTGTGAAAAAGGCAGCATAATTCCACTCTAAAAGCCAAGTCAAAAGCGTAAGTCTACAACTCATAGTAAGTTAAATGTCCATAAGCACTTTTTTGAATACTGTACATTTAGATTAGAAGCTGAAATAATACACTGACACCCCTTTTTGCTGTGCTTATAGGATACTCACCATGAATCAAATTTTTTTTTTTAAAAAAAACTTATTTAATGGGATTTGGTGAAAACAAACATCAAGGATATTTTTTTAAATATAGCTTTCAAATGAAAAAAATTCAATTTGCCCTGATCAAAATTGGTCAGTGTAACAGCTTGGAAATACATCCTTAAAAAGAAATAAGAAAACTAGTCTGCTCCCAAGCCAGAAGTCTTTTGTTTTGTCTCCATCTAGTGTCTGTGTGCTACTGTAACACAGACTGCTTCTCTCACTCACATTCCTATAAAGTTGCCAACTCAAAAGAGAGACCAAGTTACAATTTGCATTGCTTCAATAAATCAAACTTAAGCTGCAACTCAGCCAGCACAATGAAAGCCCAAACAACTCCTAACATCAGCTCTGCAAACTTCTGCAAAATCTTAAGTTCTCCTATCAATATATACTGAGACTGTAACCATCCCAGAGGTCAGCCACTATCCTGCTGCAATTCAACAAAAAGCTGCCAGTAAAAGGAAGCAGCAGATTAAGTGAGTGGTGTGATGTTAAGTCAGGTAGGAAAAAAAAAAAAAAAAAAAAAAAAAAA